AAAGGAACAGATTTAACTGAAAAAGGTAGTTAAATCAACTCTCTTCAGTTGGGGGGAGTCTTTGTCCCTTGTGATGTTGTTAGATTAATCCACTAGGAGTGGGGCGGTTTTGCAGTTTTTTTTGGGTTTTTTTTGCGGTTTTGTGGTTTTGACTGTTTTTTGGATTGGTTTTTGGGCAAAAAAGGTTTGGTTTTTCAGTTTTGATGTTTAGAGTGGTTTGTGGACGTTACGTGTTTTTTGCATTCGGTTTTCAGTTTCACAAAAACTCTGATGCGGTTTTTGGTTTTTCCTTTTTGACTCCTTTAAAGGTGAAAATGTAGCGGTTTTGTCAGGTTTGCATTCGGTTTTTGGTTTTGCAGCCTTTTTTCATTGGTTTTGGAGGTTTTTTCCTCCAGTTTTGTGGTTTCCCAGAGGCCCCAATGCCCCCCTCCACTAGTAAATCTATACAGTAAGCTGTTTTTTTACAGCTCTGATTTATGGGTAAAATTGAAGGAGCTTGAAGCCATTTATTGCAACCTTCCAATTGCATGAGGTCACTTGATCATGACTATGTACTTGTATATGGCTACCACTGAATTTTGACTGCAGTTGCTACAATTTTTAATTCAAATTTTCAGAAAAGGCAGTTTATTGACTGGAAAAAAGTCATCTTAAAGGCAGGAAATGGAGGAAATGGTTGCCTTCACTTTAAAAGACAAAAGTAAGATTATAAGCTCATCAGATGCAGTAACATTTAGTTATAATGATATATTCTTCCCAGTCATGTGATAAGTCAATGAGATCACAACATCCTACGTGAATATCTAGATACCAACCCAGAGCTGGTCCAGATGGGGGAGATGGTGGCCGAGGTGGGAGTGTCATTCTGATTGCAGATTATTCTGTCAAGGAGTTTGCTCATCTTCCCAAACATATCAAGGCTGAAAATGGTGGAGCTGGTAGGGCAGATGACTGTAAGGGGAAGAATGGTTCAGATCAGATATGGCAGGTAAATATTACAAACTCATCGATATAATTCCTCCTTTTACACTGACTAAGGGCTAACGCTCGAAACATCAGCGTTGAAACTGTTTACGCTTTGTCAATTTACATTATCAACTCACCTGATGAAACCAAAAATTACCTTGTTACTCTCATGGACACAGCACCACAGTTTCCTTAGAAACTTACCCCCATTATTCATAGAATGATAGAAGCTTTGATTACTGGTAAGTCCTATGAGTAGTCAGCCATTACTGAAAGAACTTGACTGTACAGCTCTGAAATGACAAGCAGTATTTCTAGTTATTTAATGACTTCTCTTCAATGGAATGGTTTACCTGTTTCTCACAAATGCTTGCTGATGGATTGTGTAAAGGTGATTGTCACCACATAAGGGTGCAGGCTATAGAGTCACTACATGGTCACTACATGATCACCACTGAATCAAACATTTTGGTCGTGAGAATAAAGGAATTGACCACCAATCAAAGAAGTCCTTGTATGTTTGATTATTTTTCCTTCACCTGTATTTCAATCTGTAACCTTATTAGAAGAGTCCCTTTTGTAGGTACCCCTTGGTACTGTTATCAAAGAGCAAGGGCATGTGATAGCAGACTTGACTACTGTGGGAGAAACCTTTGCAGCTGCTCAGGGGGGCCTTGGTGGAATGGGGAATGCATATTTTAAGACGGCACAGGATCGTGCACCTGATGTTACCACTGAAGGGACCCCTGGAGAGGAAAAAGTTGTAGAGTTGGAGCTGAAGACAATAGCTGATATTGGATTGGTTAGTATTACTTTGTATTATAAGACTACTACCAATGTTAAAAATCTTATAGGCATTTAACAAATTGGTTTTGTCATATGTTACAGATTGGTTTCCCTAATGCAGGAAAGTCCACTCTTCTAAGAGCAATTTCTCGTGCAATGCCAGCAGTTGCTGCTTATCCTTTCACCACCATTAATCCTTACGTTGGAATTGTGGAGTTTGATGATTACCAACAAATTGCAGGTAACATTAAAATGATTCTAACTGATTTATCTGGATGAAAATTCCCATCACTCTCTGCTGTACATTTCTTCCAATATAAGTTTGTTCTGAGAATTTGGTATTGGATCAAATGACCAATAATATTGTGAGGAGAAATTATGTTGTGGTCATTCCTGGGAGTGGATGGGTTACCAGTAACTGGTAACTTTCAGAAAGACAGGTCTTCCAGAGGTAAAGGCAAGTCATGTAACCAAGTTTGTGACTTAAGCTCAAAGTATGAAAATGTGGTACAAAATATGATTTTAAATATGACTATCAGCCCATTTGTACCATAACCTTAAACTCCCGTGGGTGACCAAGACATAATTCCTTCAAATGTTGTCATTTAAATGTCAAGCAAACAAGTGATAAGAATAAAAAAAAATATCAAGTAGGGGATTAGTAGTAGGTCCAATACTAAATCCTTCAAACTAACATAATAACAATTGTATGGGAGACAGAAGTTGATGAGTGAAATGGTTAATGATACTTCTTTATTCAGTTGTTTGATGACAACTAACAGAAGGGTGTTCTTGTGTAATGATGTAACTATGCAGTGCCCCTGTGAATCATACAATATCTACTTACAAAACGATATTGAAATACTGAAACTGAACTTAAGGACTCTTTCTGAAAGGGGCCTGTTCAACAACAGTATCATTCACACTGGTATTGGTATTTCTGAATGTGCATTATCCAATTCTCCACAATTATATGAGCAGTAAGCCAAACTCTCTATTGGTCTAATGGTATAATAACCCTTGCTGGACAAAAAAGAACACAGGAAAAGTTTGGTGCAATAAATGATGGGTTTTTGAGCAATCAGTAGAAAGAAATCTTAATAGTTTGTGCATTGTTTTATTTGTTTCTTTACATTTCTATAGTCTCTCTTCATCATATGGTTTTAAATAGATGTTTTCCCCTTCTTATTTTGTAGTCGCAGATATTCCTGGTTTAATAAGTGGAGCACATCTGAACAAAGGGTTGGGACATACTTTCCTGCGACATATTGAAAGATGCCGCTGCCTGCTGTATGTCTTGGACATTTCTTGCACTGACTCATTGACAACTTTTGCTTCCTTACGGCAAGAACTGGAGCTTTACAAGGAACATTTATCACAAAGACCAGCAGCCATTGTAGCTAACAAAATAGACATTGCTGATTCCAAGACAGAAATCCAGCAACTACAGAACACTTTCTCCCTTCAGGTTATACCTGTGTCAGCAAAGTATGGCAAGGGTATACCAGAGCTGAAAAAGGAGCTACGAAAACTTTTTAATGACACTCTTGTTATTTCTTGACCTGCAATTCATGTGCAATGAAAGACTTGAAAGGAGACAAACCTTTAGCTTTTAGTTAAAAATACCATTTTATTGGATCATTTTATAAGTTTTTCCAGAAAGTGATACACACTCAGTAGCCAATAGCAAAATATTTATACCGATGTCCTCTGCATAAAAAAATTAATTTTAGTACAACATGATGATAAAAATAGGTATTGGTGTATAACAAAAATAGCAACATTCTGCAATAAATACCTCTGACAATTTCATCCTAACTTTTGTATAGTTCAAGGTGTCAACCAGCCAATTCTTGGACTATTTTTTACCCACTTGCTACTGCATGAATTGATAATAGCGTATTAAATGCTTAAGCTAAGCTGACATGATTGTAAAATGATAAGTAACAACTATTCACTGAAGTGAAGGTAACTATAGTGGTAGACATTTACAAAGCCATGAGTATATACCAAAACAGTGAGAAAGTATAACACTAAAAGATGATTAAACTAATTTTTTTCCAGCAACAACTACAATATTTTTGGGCACAAATCCTCTGTGAATTACTTGGAGGTGAACAGCAAAGAGTATTTGGAGTTTGAGAAGCTAATCAGAGCGTGACTTCAACACCAACACTATCCACAGACTGTTTCAGTATACACAAACTATGAATATAATTAAGTCATCTTTACAAATTTAACCTAATTCCATATTAAAACTCAGTCATGCAAACATTCTGACCATCACAATATCAAAAAGCACTACATTTACATCATAATATTAAATAAATATTTTTTGAAAGCGATAAGGAAAGGAAAAAATTTGCCTTTTTGAGTTTTCAGGAAAAAAAGGTAAGGACTTGTCATCTCTCTGGGTGACCCTTGCAATGCTGTAGTAGTGAAAAGAACTGAAATTGGCACAATTTCTATGTACTTTTTAATTTATTGTCTACTGTTTGAGTCTTTTAAATGTGCCTCTGCAGCACTTTGCATCAGTCTTCAGAGGATCTTCTGTTTCACAGAATTAGGTCCAAATTGCAAAAAGAATTACTTAAAAAGAGCACACTTGTATTCAGGGTTCACATTATTGTCAATTTTATGTACTTGTCCTATTTCATTTAAGAGTGGTTACAACTACAAACAGCATTTTCAAAATCAGACCTGTCACTGTTACACTGACCCTTTAACTCCCAGAAGTGATTAACATGTCACTTCTCCCTATAATATCCACACATGATCCAGCAAACAGGTAATGAGAATACTCAAACCTATAGAAGTTGTTCCATTGATTGAACACCAAATTCTCATAACCAATTTACAAGGAAATGTGTAGCAGCCAGATGGCAGAATTCATAATCAGATCTTAGGAGTTAAATGGTTCAATTGCCTTCAAAAATGCTATTCTTAAAACATAGTTCTAACTGAAAGTCTTTAGTCATCATGCATCAACCAGCCATCTATAGAAGACATAGGTGAGTCTGCTGAGGACTCACTGGGAGAACTTGACAAAGGTGGAGAGTAGGTCACTGATGAATGTGTGTGAAGCATTGGACAAGAAAGCACTTCTTCATCAGGAAACTGGTGAGTTGGCTTAGTAAAGAAAGGATCAGGATTGTTGAAGACCTCAAAGGATCTTGGAAGACTGGCACTACCTGCAAACAACACTTATTAACTACTAGGCAATACTCATCTATAAGTATTATTATTACTATTATTATTTATAATCCTTTACTTTCCAAAACCTGTATGGGAAATCTAGAGGTCATCAAATCAAACTGTGAATCATGAAGACTTGATTTCATTTCCTAAACTTTTCCTTTTTTTTCAGTTGCATTACTTTTCATTGCGACTGATAAAGTTTCAAGTACGGTCAAAATTTCAGTTGTAAAGCTAGGACACAATTTAACCTCTTCTTTTCCAAAGTGGAATTGCTCAATTGCAGAGATATCAAATCATGACTACAAGTTGATCTCTTAGTTGAGAAAGTACAAACACCTCACATTTTCAGTGCCTTTTTCTGACTTAAGACTGCCATAAGACAGATAATTTGCTAAGGATAGCCTTTGTTAGAACTTGCAGTGCAGCCAAGCCAGTAGGTAGTGGGTTGTGACTGAAGAGATTTAATCCAAGATCCAAAGGGGGTAGCTTTCTAAAGAAACTGTGGCGCTGTGTAGCTTGGGGTATTACACGATGATTTGGTTTTATCAACTGAGTTGATGATATGAATTGGTCACCCCTGAAAAGATCTAGAGCTGACGTTTTGAGCATTAGCCCTCTGTAAGAGAGGATGACAGAGGGCTAACGCCCACAACGTCAGCCCTAGAAACTCTCGACAGAGGCATATTAACCCTCTGTAAGAGCCAATGACAGAGGGCTAATGCCCACAAAGCCAGCGTTAAAAACTCTCTACTTAGTTCTTATTAACCGAGCAGGAGGTCTGTATAGGAGAATCTTGACTGAGGTTNGCAGCACTAGTATCGCAGAGGTCAGTGGTTCGAGTCCTGTACAGGCCTGATTTTTTTCAGGTCTGATTTTTCGCTATTGCTTAAATAGCGCTATCTACTGCGAGGATCGTGCATCATATGTATCTAATACCGCAGTTCAAAAAAATATATGAACTTCATACAATTTTTTTATATTCATTGTACCTTTTCTTTCTAGACTGGTCTAGATGCCAGTCTAGATGGGAAAATCTAGACTGCTTGCAATATTGACTTCAGCCAATCAAATTCGTGAATTTGGCAGTTCCCAGTCCTTGTGAGACACAGCCATAGAATAAAGAGGCATGTTAGCCCTCTGTAAGAGTGAATGACGGAGGGCTAATGCTCACAATGTCAGTGCTAGAAACTCTCAACATAGGCATATTAGCCCTCTGTAGGAGTGAATGACAGAGGGCTAATGCCTACAACATCCGCATTACAAACTCTCTACAGAGGCATATTAGCCCCCTGTAAGAGCGAATGACAGAGGGCTAACGCCCACAACATCAGCATTAGAAACTCTCTACAGAAGCATATTTACATCATCAACTTGATCAGTTGTTAAACCAACTTATCTTGTAATCAAAGATTTGATTGGCTACCTTAAATCCCCTACTTACCTCTTAGACATAAGAAAGTCAAGAAATCTTCTGTCTTGGCTATATTAGCTGGGATGTAGATTTCTCCTAATGGATTCACAAGTTTTCTGTCTTTAAGCTTCTGTCTTAGTCTTTTTCTTAGTTTTCCCTGTAGCACATTTGACACTTCTTGTTTAAGAGTAGATATATCAGAGGTATACCTCTCTTCTACTGAATGAAAATTTTTTTCAGTTTCTAGTACAACTTCAGGCACAAGTTTTGGTGATGTGAGTTTTCTCTTTTTAACTTGATCATTGGAAGTTTCAATGTCATTTTGACCTTCAATTTCCTGCTTTCGCTTTGAACATTTTGTATATGGTTGTTTCTCATCTTTGCTGGCAGTATTAAATTTCACAGTCAAGCTTTGAACAACTTTGCTTTTCTTTGCATCATTCCCTTTCTTGCAAGTGAACAACTTCCCATTTGTGTTCTGTTTATTTAAAATATTCTTAAGTTCTCTCTTCTGACCAGTGTTCACCAATTTGTTTGACTTGACAACTTTGTTTGAATTTTTTGGACTTTGAAGTTCTTTTCTCTGTTGATTTTTACTTAGAAATCCCTTGTTCTGAAGCTTTCTACATTTGTCTGAATCTTCTTTTTGGTCTTTGGCTTTTGCTGATACCTCTTCACTTGTGATGGTTAGTTCACTACCTTTCTTTATACCTTCATTCTGTTTTATTTTTAGAGAACAGCTTTTGCTGTACTTTTTCAGTTTAGGGCATCGAGACTTCTTTAAACGTAGTCTTGTCTCAGTATTAGTGCATATCGATCTTGTTTCTACGTTCGGTTGTGCGGGTTCTTCGTGCTTCTGTTGTGCACTTCGCGCTTCTTTCAAAGACGCACTGAGTGCCCTTCTCAACTCGATTTCTTCCCTGTGTTGCAGGCTTGCATCAAAGAACTGCAGAAAGAGGAACAGAGCTTAAAAATTTCAAGTGAAAAGCAATTTGCATGGACATTTAATTTGTAGTTCGCGGGTCTCGAAGAGCGCGGTCATTAGGATTTTTAAGTCTGTTTTACCACTGAAGTGCAGAACGACCTAAACTGATTCGAAAGTACATCAGATTTTCTGCCAGATCCGATTCTTTCTATACTGATCTGAAACGCAAATCCTAAGCTTAGATCTTTAAGTACACTTAAGCTTCATCAAACTAAATCAAACGTCGTTGATGCAAATGTTTTTTTGAAAGAGAAATTAAACGCATCGCATATTCACTGATACTTCAAAAACAATTCAAACATAAAAGAGCCAAGCGATCTATATAGTCAGTGTAACTACGTACCTAACATAATCTTAAAGGACGATCTACCTTAAATCTAGTCCGTTCTCCCATGCCATTCAAACGAAATCAACCTAAGAGGGTTTCCCTGATCTTTTTAAGATCATATTCTTCTCTGTTCTTAATTCTTTAACAGATAGGCTTGATCCAAGTCTAGTGCAACTCTTTTAAAAATCACAGCTTTGAACTTCATTTTCAAGTAAAACAAATCGTGAACGTGTGTACGAGTATTAAATTTTCAGAGTCCCTTTCAACTCAATTCATTGTTAATTTTGATCGCAGCACGTTTTCAAGCGTCTTTCCGCGCCAACTCAAAATCGCGATTTCCTCAAGCATAGCTAAATATCATCGTTTCAGATCACTTACCATACAGGATCTTCCAGTCCGTTGTCGCTTGGGCCTTTTATCCGCCATAATAAGGTGTTAATATTCCCGGTTTCCTTACTAAAACAACGCTACATCAGACAAAGACAGCATGCTGGATTACCCGCCATCTTATCGAACAAACTTGTACCCAGTCCCGTTCAAGAATGGTAGCACGAGCAAAGGGTCAAAAGGTTGGAGGAAGTCTTTAGTCAGTTAATGGTGAATTAGCATTCATCTGGTATTCTAAGTTATCATCATACGGTTGCGAAAAGTCACAGCTCTATCTCGCTAATATTTTTCCCTTGTTTGTGTTTTACTTAAGTGCTTGCCAATCACGATAAGATAAACCAGGAGCTTTTTAACCTGAATAACCCTTACACCAACGTGTTTGAAGGTATGGCAGTGTTAGATGGATCATCGCATTAAAGAAAGATTTTATTAAATTTACCACAGGTTAGGGTGGTCAACAGATGTTGGCGTATTCAAAGAACATGCATTCAAAATACCGGGCATTGTTTTATCTTGTATCTGGCAAGATTCTCTTTTCCCCTTCAAGACTAATTTGTCTGAATGTAAAGCCAAATTTTCAGCACTAGCCTACAAAGAAATGTAAAAGATGATGTTTTAAGTGAAAGACAGGCATACACGAAGAGAAGGAACTCCCAGTGCTCCCAATAGGGGTCAAACCTATCTTCCGGTTAGTACTTTGGAAATATAAGGTCATCGATGGAAGGGTTTACCCTACCATCAGAATGTATATTCTCCATACTGTCCTCTATAAATTTTCTAATACGCCGTCTTGGAGAATTTATTTAACAATAAGGAGCTTCTTTAAATGGTGATCATTTCCTAAATTCTCCTTCCCTGAATGTGTGATTCAGGAGTGATATTGCAAGGAGAAATTAGATGCTAGTTACTCTAAGAAGTTAAAGGGTTAACTTTGAGATCTTGGAAGTAAACATGTCAAGGGAGCAAGAAAGAGAACCCATCTCATATGAATGTTATTGCAGGACTCCCGGCTCTAAGGGTGAGAAGAGCCTTACGGTACGTGACGTACCGTAAGGCTCTACATCTTATCATAGAGAAGACAAACACTGAAGTAACGTTTTATTCTTTCATTTTGACAAATAGCTTCTCATAACTCTCATGTAAGGTTTTTTTTTTTTTTCATATCTGCATTTAGTTGGTTTCAGCTTTTAAGTTAGTAAGGGTAGGTGAACCACGGCAGATAAATTTAAAAGGATTTTTTTCGTCGAAGTACTAACGCTAAAAACGTCAGATTCCCAAAATTCGCTGCAGCCGTTTACCTGCCTGTATCTATTGTCGTTAATTAATACTTTATTGACTTGCCCGCCAACAAAACAAAACGGTTTCGAAATTAAAAACTTCTTTTCAGTTCTTTTCGGTTCTAGCTCCACTTTCTCTACGTACTTTTTTCGATCTGTTTGAAGAACTATTCGTCATTTGAGAAAAAGAAGGAAAAATGAAAAGGAAAAGTGGGTGTACAAAAATCGTTTCGTCACCTTCACAGGAGAAAAACAGCGACGTTAGAATCAAATAGTGTTCTGAGCCTTTTTCAGTTACGTAATTTTCCAACAGTTACTTGTAACCTTTCAAACACAGGAGAGGCGATTTAAATCAGGAGGAGCAACATTAATCTAATAACAGCTACTGTCAAATTCATCACTAGCTAAACTGTACTTTTTTTGTTATCTTTAAATAAATATTTTAACTGTCTGCTTGAACACTATTTACGTTGACAGTCACAACTGATACGATCCTTCTTTTGGGAACCTGTGCATCTACTTGAAGTTGAACTTGACTTTCACTAAGTACCGCATGCGAACCTGAGGAAGGATAAAGATGAGCTCAGAATTGATCAAACAAAGTTTGTGATCTTTGACGTAAGACCTCTTGATTCATCAGATCTGGCATAACTTTTACAGCCTTTTATTTGGTGGGGGGAGGGGAGGAGGGGAGGGAGGAGACGACCGGGGTACTTTTTTTTTAAATGTAAAAACGCCTTGGGGACGGGGCTGGTGGATTGATGAAACGCAACGTCGCTCCCCCAGAAGAGGAGGCCTGGTTGCGTGACATCTAAAAAACAGTTACCATGGACACCTTTACAAAGGCACAAATTGCCGACATCTATCATTTCTCGAGCTCCATTCAGCTTTTCAATGAGATTCTTACCCTTACATCTGCGGCTTTAAATTAACACATTTTCTCCCTCCTTTGGCAAAAAAAAAATACTTCCTCTAACGGCGGCAAGTTCTGCAGGTNTAAAGGCTGATAGTTTCTAAAGAAACTGTTTGGGGCTGCGTCGGTGGGGGTAACGAAATAATTTGAATATATCAACAAAGTTGAAATGGTAAATTGGCCACCGTTACGATTATAAAAGCTGACGTTTCGAGCGTTAGCCCTTCGTCGGAGCGACGAAGGGCTAACGCTCGAAACGTCAGCTTTTATAATCGTAACGGTGGCCAATTTACCATTTCAACTTTGTTGATATATTCAAATTATTTCGTTACCCCCACCGACGCAGCCCCAAACAGTTTCTTTAGAAAGTATCAACCTTTATTCATTAGTAATTTTTTTTAACTGATAATACAATTCATACCTGATTCGTGTTGTAGACAATGTACTCTGTGAATGTAGGAAAAAAATTACTTCAATACTTTGTTAACTATGAAGAGGACAAGCCTTATCTCATGACAAGAAATTCAAAATAAACCCAAAAAAATTCGCAGAATTACTCCAAGAACTTCTTCTCTAGCCTTGCTTAGGAAACTGTAATCCTTGATTTTCCGAAATCACCATAGACGGATGATAAAAACCTTTTAGTTCGCAAGAAACTCTTTGGAAAGTGATTAGCCAAAACATCATCAAAACAGTAAAGGAGCAACACTACCCGGCACAAAAATATTCTCAAATTGCAACTCTCCAACCTAACATTGATACTCGCGTAATCGTCGACGCCCTTTGCCAGTGAGCCTTAAAAATGTTTCAGTACGCGTGTCCTCTCACTTCGGTTGTTTTCAGCACAAAAATAGAGATAACATAATGTCCAGGTACCGTTATAGTTCAGCGTGTATCCACGTGGGTTCACAACACCGGTCTCAGTAGTTTTACCAAATGGGACAGTAACCCCGTCTGGCCTGTAGGATAAAAACAAGTACCATTACGGTGTTCATGTGTTTCCGAGAGAACTAAGCGATTTTTCAAACCTGAGAGCCAATTAACGAGAGTTCAACAGTCATACTTGAGTCGCACTTCATCTGATAAATTTCCTTGGCAGTACTTATACCACGCAGCTTTCTCCTCGGCAAATCCCTTTTCCACACTCTATACGCCAGGTTTTTTTTTTTTTTTTATTATTTATTTTTATTTTTTATGGAGGCTTCTAAAGGGAAGAACTACTGTCAAGGAAAAGTTTGGCAGAAACCAAACTTACACCCGGTCATGATTTCAGAAAAACTGTACGAGCTTTCCTCTTTCGACTTGGCGCATCCCTTCCCCTGTTGGCGGTTTTCCATAGCTCTTTTAACTGACCGTGTTCTGAGAAACTATTTTATAAAAAATACTGTAATCTTTACAGACTTACATCGTAAAGGTGTCATTCGGATCGGGACCCACCCGACCCATGCCTTTCACACTTTGACAATCAGATGGTAGTTTATCAGCATTATAATCTGCAGCCAAGAGTTCGTTACTCTTCCCCAGAGATACCTGAACGATAGTGAAGCATTTAAGCGTATTATTACAGTGAAAGGCATTGATTGAAGTTTGTATCGTCTGCTTTCAGCCACTTGACTACACTGCGACGACAATGTTTGAGTCTAATGTAAACTAATTTTTTCCCTATCTTCCTTGTGTTGATCTAAGTACTGCACCGCAGGTTTACATAACTGCCGCGAATTCTTTCAGGCCCCCCGTGTGTAAAGAAGTTTAGACAAGCTTAAGAGACCATTCATAAAAGGCTACTACTAATCTCGAAAAGAGTTACCTTTAGGAAAGTGTTGTACTTACAATATCATCACTGAAGAGTTAACGAAAGCGAATGTTTACAAACCTCACTAAGTAAAAGAATGCCAACATTCTTCGATCTTGTTGCAAAGCAGTAGTTTGCACTCTTAGACGACATGTCTGCGAAATAGACACCCTTACCAAACTAGTATATAAGTAGAGAAAAAAAAAATTGTAAACAATGTGTGAATTAAATGTAACGTGAGAAAGCGAGGATAAGTATTTGTTATTAGGTCTCTAGGTTTGAGTTCTGCCAGCAACTAGCAGTGAAAAGAAAAGTAAATAACTAAATGAAAAAAAAAGTAAATATGTAAATAAATACTGAAGTGAATCAGAAAACTTAGAAGTTTCCTGCGCAGCCTTTGACTTGCCTTTTCAAGGAGTCCAGTCGGCGAGCGGAGCGTTAAAGTAAACAGCAGTTGCGGAGCGAAAAACGAGGAATGGTTAGGTCTCAAAACTCGGTCAGTGTCAAAATTTCACCTACTACTTAGTGGCAAATAAATATCTGGAGCGTACAGTACTTCTCCTTTCAAAGAAAAGAGAGCTTGTCGTTTCACGATGTTTCCTCAAGAAGGTTTTCCTGTAAGCCTCACTTTCCAGATACCTGCCAGAACGAGAGCTCAATCAAGTAAACGGTTCTTACCATGTACCCTGTTACTGGCGCCTCTGGCGGAGCTATCCTCAATCCTTGACTTAGAATGCCAACCCAGTTTGTTAAACGAGATCCGTGCCAGAGAAGCATCCTACACAAATATCAAGAGAAAGAACAAGCTTGTCCACTCATCGTTTTGTAACTATCAAACAGGCTGTTCGATAGTTTAGAAGTATTTTTTGTTTATGGGGTGGGAGTGGGGTCAATTAGCCCCTTTGTATGACGGTTGGCGACTATCTCCACTTCACCCCTCACCCCTCCAAAAAATGCATGGGAAAGCTGCTTACCTGTTACCCACATCTGTGAAATCTTTCTTCTTGTGCTCCAGTGCAAACACATCAAGCAGTTCCATGTCATACTGATTATGAGTTGTTGCATGGGTATTCTTTAGATATTTAGAAATCATCTGTAAGAAACAGAAAAAAAAAGGTTTTCAGTAGGCCAGGCCAGTTCTCATCAACAGCGAGCACTTTTTGACAGTCTCGACATATATCAACAATTTTGTAAGAAATAGACAAATTTTTTGAGAGACATGTTTCGGCATGCTTATGCCATCTTCAATCAGTGAGTAACAGAACGTGAGTAATTATATAACAGACAAGTAGATGAATAAAATATTTTACAGTATGATATAAAACAAAAGCGGGTACTAATTACAACGCGACACCAAACATCAAAGGTGTGAACTAAAACGTTCAAAGTCCCGGCTATTTTGAGAGGAGGACCCGTCACGATACCGCTTGAAAGTTCTTTCAATAATATGCGAAGGAAAAGAATTACGTTTTATAATTAAAGTGTCGGAAAGTTTCTTAAGATCGTTTTGAAGGCCGGAAGAGGTGTTGATGATTTTGTAGATACGGTCAATAAGCATGTAAAGATGAAATAAACAATTTTTAAAAATCGAATTTCCAGATGGGATTTGAACCCACGACCCTCCGTGATCTAGTCGGATGCTCTAACCACTGAGCTACAGGAGACTCTATGGTGAGCAAGGGTCAATTAGTGGGTATTGACTGGAACCGCATCACGCGGCTACACAGCCAAACATCAGCTAGCGCATAGAAGCTCACTAACAGCATCACGCTGTCACATTAAAGCATCACATGCATTAAAGCATCACATGCAGCCAACCAGCCTCCAAAGTGAGCATGTAAAGATGAAATAAACAATTTTTAAAAATCGAGTTTCCAGATGGGATTTGAACCCACGACCCTCCGTGATCTAGTCGGATGCTCTAACCACTGAGCTACAGGAGACTCTATGGTGAGCAAGGGTCAATTAGTGGGTATTGACTGGAACCGCATCACGCGGCTACACAGCCAAACATCAGCTAGCGCATAGAAGCTCACTAACAGCATCACGCTGTCACATTAAAGCATCACATGCATTAAAGCATCACATGCAGCCAACCAGCCTCCAAAGTGAGCATGTAAAGATGAAATAAACAATTTTTAAAAATCGAGTTTCCAGATGGGATTTGAACCCACGACCCTCCGTGATCTAGTCGGATGCTCTAACCACTGAGCTACAGGAGACTCTATGGTGAGCAAGGGTCAATTAGTGGGTATTGACTGGAACCGCATCACGCGGCTACACAGCCAAACATCAGCTAGCGCATAGAAGCTCACTAACAGCATCACGCTGTCACATTAAAGCATCACATGCATTAAAGCATCACATGCAGCCAACCAGCCTCCAAAGTGAGCATGTAAAGATGAAATAAACAATTTTTAAAAATCGAGTTTCCAGATGGGATTTGAACCCACGACCCTCCGTGATCTAGTCGGATGCTCTAACCACTGAGCTACAGGAGACTCTATGGTGAGCAAGGGTCAATTAGTGGGTATTGACTGGAACCGCATCACGCGGCTACACAGCCAAACATCAGCTAGCGCATAGAAGCTCACTAACAGCATCACGCTGTCACATTAAAGCATCACATGCATTAAAGCATCACATGCAGCCAACCAGCCTCCAAAGTGAGCATGTAAAGATGAAATAAACAATTTTTAAAAATCGAGTTTCCAGATGGGATTTGAACCCACGACCCTCCGTGATCTAGTCGGATGCTCTAACCACTGAGCTACAGGAGACTCTATGGTGAGCAAGGGTCAATTAGTGGGTATTGACTGGAACCGCATCACGCGGCTACACAGCCAAACATCAGCTAGCGCATAGAAGCTCACTAACAGCATCACGCTGTCACATTAAAGCATCACATGCATTAAAGCATCACATGCAGCCAACCAGCCTCCAAAGTGAGCATGTAAAGATGAAATAAACAATTTTTAAAAATCGAGTTTCCAGATGGGATTTGAACCCACGACCCTCCGTGATCTAGTCGGATGCTCTAACCACTGAGCTACAGGAGACTCTATGGTGAGCAAGGGTCAATTAGTGGGTATTGACTGGAACCGCATCACGCGGCTACACAGCCAAACATCAGCTAGCGCATAGAAGCTCACTAACAGCATCACGCTGTCACATTAAAGCATCACATGCATTAAAGCATCACATGCAGCCAACCAGCCTCCAAAGTGAGCATGTAAAGATGAAATAAACAATTTTTAAAAATCGAGTTTCCAGATGGGATTTGAACCCACGACCCTCCGTGATCTAGTCGGATGCTCTAACCACTGAGCTACAGGAGACTCTATGGTGAGCAAGGGTCAATTAGTGGGTATTGACTGGAACCGCATCACGCGGCTACACAGCCAAACATCAGCTAGCGCATAGAAGCTCACTAACAGCATCACGCTGTCACATTAAAGCATCACATGCATTAAAGCATCACATGCAGCCAACCAGCCTCCAAAGTGAGCATGTAAAGATGAAATAAACAATTTTTAAAAATCGAGTTTCCAGATGGGATTTGAACCCACGACCCTCCGTGATCTAGTCGGATGCTCTAACCACTGAGCTACAGGAGACTCTATGGTGAGCAAGGGTCAATTAGTGGGTATTGACTGGAACCGCATCACGCGGCTACACAGCCAAACATCAGCTAGCGCATAGAAGCTCACTAACAGCATCACGCTGTCACATTAAAGCATCACATGCATTAAAGCATCACATGCAGCCAACCAGCCTCCAAAGTGAGCATGTAAAGATGAAATAAACAATTTTTAAAAATCGAGTTTCCAGATGGGATTTGAACCCACGACCCTCCGTGATCTAGTCGGATGCTCTAACCACTGAGCTACAGGAGACTCTATGGTGAGCAAGGGTCAATTAGTGGGTATTGACTGGAACCGCATCACGCGGCTACACAGCCAAACATCAGCTAGCGCATAGAAGCTCACTAACAGCATCACGCTGTCACATTAAAGCATCACATGCATTAAAGCATCACATGCAGCCAACCAGCCTCCAAAGTGAGCATGTAAAGATGAAATAAACAATTTTTAAAAATCGAGTTTCCAGATGGGATTTGAACCCACGACCCTCCGTGATCTAGTCGGATGCTCTAACCACTGAGCTACAGGAGACTCTATGGTGAGCAAGGGTCAATTAGTGGGTATTGACTGGAACCGCATCACGCGGCTACACAGCCAAACATCAGCTAGCGCATAGAAGCTCACTAACAGCATCACGCTGTCACATTAAAGCATCACATGCATTAAAGCATCACATGCAGCCAACCAGCCTCCAAAGTGAGCATGTAAAGATGAAATAAACAATTTTTAAAAATCGAGTTTCCAGATGGGATTTGAACCCACGACCCTCCGTGATCTAGTCGGATGCTCTAACCACTGAGCTACAGGAGACTCTATGGTGAGCAAGGGTCAATTAGTGGGTATTGACTGGAACCGCATCACGCGGCTACACAGCCAAACATCAGCTAGCGCATAGAAGCTCACTAACAGCATCACGCTGTCACATTAAAGCATCACATGCATTAAAGCATCACATGCAGCCAACCAGCCTCCAAAGTGAGCATGTAAAGATGAAATAAACAATTTTTAAAAATCGAGTTTCCAGATGGGATTTGAACCCACGACCCTCCGTGATCTAGTCGGATGCTCTAACCACTGAGCTACAGGAGACTCTATGGTGAGCAAGGGTCAATTAGTGGGTATTGACTGGAACCGCATCACGCGGCTACACAGCCAAACATCAGCTAGCGCATAGAAGCTCACTAACAGCATCACGCTGTCACATTAAAGCATCACATGCATTAAAGCATCACATGCAGCCAACCAGCCTCCAAAGTGAGCATGTAAAGATGAAATAAACAATTTTTAAAAATCGAGTTTCCAGATGGGATTTGAACCCACGACCCTCCGTGATCTAGTCGGATGCTCTAACCACTGAGCTACAGGAGACTCTATGGTGAGCAAGGGTCAATTAGTGGGTATTGACTGGAACCGCATCACGCGGCTACACAGCCAAACATCAGCTAGCGCATAGAAGCTCACTAACAGCATCACGCTGTCACATTAAAGCATCACATGCATTAAAGCATCACATGCAGCCAACCAGCCTCCAAAGTGAGCATGTAAAGATGAAATAAATAATTTTTAAAAATCGAGTTTCCAGATGGGATTTGAACCCACGACCCTCCGTGATCTAGTCGGATGCTCTAACCACTGAGCTACAGGAGACTCTATGGTGAGCAAGGGTCAATTAGTGGGTATTGACTGGAACCGCATCACGCGGCTACACAGCCAAACATCAGCTAGCGCATAGAAGCTCACTAACAGCATCACGCTGTCACATTAAAGCATCACATGCATTAAAGCATCACATGCAGCCAACCAGCCTCCAAAGTGAGCATGTAAAGATGAAATAAACAATTTTTAAAAATCGAGTTTCCAGATGGGATTTGAACCCACGACCCTCCGTGATCTAGTCGGATGCTCTAACCACTGAGCTACAGGAGACTCTATGGTGAGCAAGGGTCAATTAGTGGGTATTGACTGGAACCGCATCACGCGGCTACACAGCCAAACATCAGCTAGCGCATAGAAGCTCACTAACAGCATCACGCTGTCACATTAAAGCATCACATGCATTAAAGCATCACATGCAGCCAACCAGCCTCCAAAGTGAGCATGTAAAGATGAAATAAACAATTTTTAAAAATCGAGTTTCCAGATGGGATTTGAACCCACGACCCTCCGTGATCTAGTCGGATGCTCTAACCACTGAGCTACAGGAGACTCTATGGTGAGCAAGGGTCAATTAGTGGGTATTGACTGGAACCGCATCACGCGGCTACACAGCCAAACATCAGCTAGCGCATAGAAGCTCACTAACAGCATCACGCTGTCACATTAAAGCATCACATGCATTAAAGCATCACATGCAGCCAACCAGCCTCCAAAGTGAGCATGTAAAGATGAAATAAACAATTTTTAAAAATCGAGTTTCCAGATGGGATTTGAACCCACGACCCTCCGTGAT